CTTCTCAAATTTCCATCTTCTCAAATTTCCATCTTCTCAAATTTCCATCTTCTCAAATTTCCATCTTCTCAAATTTCCATCTTCTCAAATTTCCATCTTCTCAAATTTCCATCTTCTCAAATTTCCATCTTCTCAAATTTCCATCTTCTCAAATTTCCATCTTCTCAAATTTCCATCTTCTCAAATTTCCATCTTCTCAAATTTCCATCTTCTCAAATTTCCATCTTCTCAAATTTCCATCTTCTCAAATTTCCATCTTCTCAAATTTCCATCTTCTCAAATTTCCATCTTCTCAAATTTCCATCTTCTCAAATTTCCATCTTCTCAAATTTCCATCTTCTCAAATTTCCATCTTCTCAAATTTCCATCTTCTCAAATTTCCATCTTCTCAAATTTCCATCTTCTCAAATTTCCACCTTCTTAAATTTCCAACTTCTGAAATTTCCACATTCCTAAATTTCCAACTTCTCAAATTTCTACATTCCCAAATTTCCACCTTCTCAAATTCCCAAATCTCCAAATTCCTACGCTCCCAAATTTCTACACACCCCAAATTCCTAAACTTTCATATTTCTAAATCTCCAAATTTCTACACTCCCAAATTCTCACACTTCTAAATTCTTACACTCCCAAATTTCTAAATCTCTAAATTGCTACACTCTCAAATTTCTACACTCTCCAATTCCTAAATCTCCAAACTCCTTCCTCTCCAAATTTCTACACTCCCCAATTCCGAAATTTCCAAATCCCCACACTCTTCAATTCCCAAATCCCCAAATTCCTAAAATCTCAACTTTCTCACCCCCAAATTGTAATATCTCCAAATTTAAACTCCAGATTCCAAACTCTCCCAACCTCCAAACTCCCAGATCTCTAAACTCGTGTATACAGTCCCCTTTCAGCACAGTTGTCCATGAATTTGATTGTCAGACACGAAATTACTAGGTTATGCAACGTATAACCTAACACGAATACGATCCACGATAATAATAATAGATCGAGTTACTTTTTCCGACTCCCGGTCCTCCAATTAAGAAAATGATTGGCAGCCCCGATTCTTTAATCAGTGTACCGTCGACGTTGATACCGGTCGGTATAGAACCGAACACAGGATCCATAGCATTTATACAATTGCCCATTGGATCGATCGTTGTCCTTTTAATTTTAGAATCCCTTGTTTTGTCTCCAGCTACCGATCAAGTACATTTAAATGCTCCACCTATTGTCTTTATATAAAGTGGAAATGTCTGTTCAGTGTGTTATTCTTGGAATCAAGTTCCATTCACTGCGAAGTTGAACTTGAATCAAAATATCGTCAACAGTAATGTATATTAATAAAAACGAAGTTTATGAAATATTATGAAATGGGTTTGATACGTTTGTTTAGCCGTGCACTTATTTTATTATAAATTTAATGAATTGAGGTCGGAATTATATGGTTGTAGTGAAATGTGGTTATAGTTTATGAATATTGATTGGATTGAGAGCGAAAAGTTGTAATTTTGATGGAAGTTGTCGTTTCTATAGATTTCTTCCTCACCGATTATCGGTAGTTTGTGGAAGAGTTTTTTTAGGTATTCAATATTTTTTTGTATACTTATTTTTATAGTTTCTTCATTGTTGATCGATCAATTACTGTGAATTAGTAATGTAAGAATTTGATTGTATGAGACATTTTATAAGTTGTGTTTAGATTCCTGTATTTTCGACAGTGGGTAAGGTTCATTTAACTGTTTGTTGATAAAATAATATTCAGCAACGGTGATTACATTTTTAACTCTTCTGATAAAATTTTATATATAGGAACAATTCTTCAGTGTTATAAACAGTGTTGTATTATTTATTATTAAGTTTATAGAATTTATCATCAACTTCTACATTTTTCTATTTTTTAAATGAATCTTTAAGATCAGAATTATGAATATAATTTTGTGTAATTTCAAATTGATATAATAAACGTAACTGTATACTAACTACATTGCAACCTTGTAATATAAAGATATTAAAATTTAAAAATAATTGATGAATATAGGTCAATGTATAGTACATAGTCATAGGTTATCTGTTACATCACAAGCGTTAAGTTTCACCCAGTAAAATATTCTTTTCATTCTTACACATCTAAATTATGAATAGCGGTAAAACCAAGAAATGGTGATTCTTAAAAGAACATCTGTCAACTCGATCAAACGTTGCCGTTCTGAGGCAATCGTTTACCCAAAGAAAACCTATACTCACCGTGGGTGGTCGAAAAACGCTGCTTTTATTTTCGATCCCCTATCACGAGGTGCTAGTAAAGAATCATGGATAAAGACACAGGTTTCATTCACAGGATAATATATCTGTTTCAACGTTACATAATTCTCTTTGACGTAGACATATAGCAAGGAATAAATCTCCAGCAGAAAATTAATTAATGGAAAGTCGAATCTTGATAGATCTTTTAGATTGGTAACATATTGTACTATTAATGGTTTTAGCGTGTAACTTGACAGGAATAATCCTCTTTAATATGTGGGACAGTGTAAGCGATACCTGTGTTCTCGATATCATTTTATAGGAAACGAATTGAATGTGAATTCGGGAAAGATTAGAAAACAAGATTGGACGGTGATAAATTAACTGTAACAGCATTCCTTTAATAATCTGCGAGTCATCGATACTCTTTCATTCGTTAAAATTACATACCAATTATAGACAGGAAACCGTATTAAATGCGTAAGCTGAGAACGGCATATATTAAAAATATAGTCAACAGGAAGAAGACAAATTTTGATTAACGACGCTAATTATATTAACCGTCAGCTCCGATACCTCGCTACACCGCCATTTTCATTGTGGTACACGAGTTAAGCAACAATTCCTGGAACTTTCATTCGCAATCATAGCTTTACCTCGACATATGTCATTTGTTATGTCTTTGTAATATAATCGTCACTGGAAACACGCGTAACAAGATGATATATTAATAACAGGCAAGGCGAGACAATTCATTCCAGACTTGCAATGCATAAAGTACACGCTTCAGACTTATGAACAAATGTTTACAATTTGAACGAGAGCACATTCATATCTGCTTGATCATATTAAACACATAAAGTCGCTATAAAGTAGGTTGTAATGTACTAGACTGGTAAACAAAAGTTGATACACGTAAGTTCGCTGACTTTGGATCCTTCATATCTATAGGGGTGCATGTTCAATGAGTATCTCAAAATATTTAAGTCTTAAAATCGCTAATAAAATTACTAATAAATTAGTCAAATTGTACATTTGAAGTTATATCTAAAGATAGCCGATAATTTATTCGTCGTTGAATTTTAATTAAAATGAGATATAGATAAAACTAGTACCATTTGACAGTCGGAAAAATTTGCATTGATAATGTAATTTTCATAAATTATAGGATTTAAATATTCCTTGCTAAATGAAATAACTTTGATATAAAATAGTTTTCTACGCAGTCATTAATTAGAGAAATAATAACACCCAACCGTGTTTTCCTTAAGACGCCATTTGTAAAGAATGTACGACCGATTTTTATACATTTAACTCATTATTTACGACAAAAAGCATGTTGTATATCTCAGGATTAGTCTCAGGCCTAGAATTTCTGGCGATCTTATAAATTCTTGTTATCTACGTTGCATTTGACGAACTAACGGCGATAAAGTGCATATCAAGTAGTACAGGCAAGCGAATAAACACGCGGCTCGTTCAAAGCAAAATGGTCGACCGTCCAAGGTTGCATTCAACGCGTTACTGGAACGAAGGAATTACTACATAAAGCTTGCTCGTAATAAAAAACACGTGCACAGTAATTTGGTTGCAAATTTATCGTTTCACGGTTGGCCGAAAATATCGCCACGTAATTAACTATTACACGCGCGTTAAATGACGTACGAAGTCGCTGGCTGAATACGGTTTTTCACGACACTGTTGATAAATAATTATCAATTATACGGTAGTTTAACGTTATATTCATGGGATCACGACTGCACCATGAGGTCGCAGTTGCAGATTTCATCGGTGATAGAAATTGTTTTTATGGGCTTTTGTATTGAAATTTTGATGGTGAGGAGAGATAACCTTAAAACAATTTCACAATACGAAGTTAAATTATAATCTTTAAAATACGAAATTAAATTATAATCTTCAAAATATGAAATTACATTATAATTTTCAAAATACGAAATTAAATTATAATCTTTAAAATACCGAATTAAATTATAATCTTCAAAATATGAAATTAAATTGTGATCTTCAAAATATGAAATTAAATTGTAATCTTCAAAATACAGAATTAAATTATAATCTTCAAAATATGAAATTACATTATAACCTTCAAAATATGAAATTAAATTGTAATCTTCAAAATACGAAATTAAGTTACGATCTTCAAAGTACAAAATCAAATAATAATCTTCAAAATACGAAATTAAATTATAATCTTCAAAATACAGAATTAAATTATAATCTTCAAAATATGAAATTTAGTTACGATCTTCAAAATACAAAATTAAGTCATAATTTTCAAAACACGAAATTAAATTATAACCTTCAAAATACAGAATAAAATAACGATCTTCAATATGAGAAATAAAATCACAATTTTCAAAGTACAAAATTGAATCGCAGTCTCATTGGAAGCTCCTTCATTTCTTCAGGGTTTTCTTTTTGTTCCCTTCCGGAACGAACGTTTACAGCAAGAAGATAGTAGATATCTTCAACAAATCTATAGAACGTACTCCGTATACGTACTCACATAGTTACACTCGTACTTCCTAGTAGATATACATAAATTATCGATAAGTTTAATCTCCGCGGGACACAATACGGGGTTTCGAGTACAATCGTAGCGCAGCGTGGCCCTTATCATCCTTGTAATTTGCAAATTCGCGTTTCGCATCGTAGAACCGAGGTATCGGCATGCTCCATCTGTTACCGGTGCCATAAACTCTGCACTATATACGAGTGTATCGTTTCGCGAGATACAATGCACGCGCAAGATTACGAATTCTTGCAAAACTACGAAGCCAAAGGGGGGGTTACACCACCGGCTTACGTATCGATAAAACCGTTCGTTCTCCGGCGCTTTGCCACGGTTGGAGGAAATCTCATATACGATCGATGGTTAACGGAGCAGGGAACGATCGAGTGAACGCGAATTGATTTTCCTACGAACGGGACGGATTAAGCCCATTAACGTCATGGTGTTCGAGACATAAGTCGCGACTCGATAAGATCGAGTCGTACGGTGAATTAGGACGATCGTGGAAAACGGACACGGTCGATCGATGATGGCTAAGAAGAGAGGAAAAAATCGCGTTGCGTCTCGTTAAAATGCAACGTCGCGACGCCTTCGATGTAGAACAAGATACTTACAGAGGCGTGAAACTGTTCGAGACGGATTAGAAGGCGACTTGGACAGGTTAGATTAGCGCTGAAATAAGTTTCGTGTATCTGATAACGCCGGTTTAAAATTATTTTCTATGTTTGCGCGAGTAAATTGAAACGAGGGATAATTAATTAGTGAAGCAGATACGGAGTTTATTTTAAGGACTGTTTATCATTTCACTATTTTATCATTCCACTACATACTATCACAATTATTTTATTTTCCTCTGTTAAACTACTCCGCTATTTACACACCATAGGCGCCATTTTCTTGTCTCACTCTAATTCTATTTAAATCCATTCCTCACTATTAATCTTATAACAAAACAAGCATTTCGATGGTAAAATTGATAAGGATAACATTCTGAACGACAAGGATAACAATGAAATTAAAATCGATGCAAGTTTAGAAAATAAAATGTATATGTTGAATGAAGGTTTCCCGGGATCCACAATCTCTAATGGGATTAATCAATGCACCATTTACTGCGCCTTTCGTACAAACACAGTTGGAATTTATACTAAGGAGACCTTATTCTGCCACGATCAATGAACAGCATGGTACAAATGAAGACAAATAGTTATCACGGGTGGAGGTTGAAAGTAGAAAACGTTACGCTGAAGCTGGCTTTGGTGATCGAGACTCAAGGATCGATCCTTTATCAGACATGTATCTCAATTTCAACCTTTTCAACGAACAATCGCGAGTTAAGTATAAATGATGTTAGCATTCATCGAATGG